CCCCCTCGTTCGTCACCCTGAGTTTGCGCTGCCGCAGGACAAAATTACACCAGAGGGGAAACCCAATCAGTGGATGATTTCAACATTCGTGACATGGATGTCGAGATCGATTTTGAGATGGATCGTGAGATGGATCGTGGGATCGATGGTGCGGAAATAACAAGGTCGATCGGGAGACCGACAGTAAAGGCGATTCAGTGAGATCGCTTGTGCGATCTATACTGAAATTGATTGTGAGGTCGATAGTGGGATCGATAGTGAGATCGATAGAGAGGTGGGTAGTTGTATATCGATGGTGAGACCGATCGATGAGGTGATCGACCAGGAACCCAGGAACCGGGAAACCCGAGAACGCAGGCGCCCGCCGAAATCGCCCTGGAACCAGCAACCGGGAACCCTGGAACCCAGAACCGGGAACCCGGGAACCCGGCCGCCCACCGAAATCGGCCGGGCAGTCTCCTCTTCCGTGCAAGCGCTGATTGGGGAAAGTCGTCGTCTCCCTCCCCTCCCAAAAGCCCCCCGCCCTGCAGGAGGGGGAAGCCCCGGTCGCGCCCCGGCGAGGCCGCGAGCCCCAGCGCGCTGCGGCCGCGGTGCCTGCGGCGCCGGGGCCGCCCCCAGGATCGAGGGCGGCGTGGCCGGGGGGGGGGGGGGGAGCGGCTCTGGGCGCGGGAGGCCGGGGGGTTGTCGGAGGAGGGCGAGTTGAGAGAACGGTAGTTGGCCTTCGGGGGGGGGGACCCTCCGTCGCCACCGCTGGACTCGGCCTGGAAGACATGTGCGTTGGGACCCCGGGGAGGGGCCCGGGCCTCGATTCCGAGCCGCCGTCGTCTCGTCTCGCCCTGCTCCCGAGGTTCGAAGGTGCGGCCCTGAGGGATGGGGGCCCCGAGAGCAGGGAGAGGGGTTTTGAGGGCGAACTTCCACTGCTCTGGGGCCTCTCCTCGCCCTTGGGCCCCACGTCTCAGGGCCTCATGTTTGAGGTGCCAAGGCGGGCGGGTTGGTGGACGGGGGAGGGGGAGGAGGTTGACGAGGAGCAGAAGGAGGATGGGGGGGGGGAAACGAGGAGCAGAGGGAGGGTATGGCAGGGGGGCGGGATCGAGGATGCTGATCGTAAGGATGGACGGGGAAAGGCTGGGAGGTTGTAGAGGAGCAGAAGGAAGATGGGTGGGGCACGAGGAGCAAAGGGAGAGGGTGTGGCAGGGGGGGTGATCGAGGATGATGATAGTAATGAGTGATGAGGAGCAGTAGCAGGAGGGCGGGGACGAGGATGATGAGGGGGTTAGACGAGGGTGTCGGAGTCGTAGGAGTAGGAGTCGGAAGGAGGGAGGATTAGCTATAAGAGAAGGCGACTCCTCCGTCCAGGCTCAGCTAACATCCTACTCAGCGGTCCTGTGGAGGGAGTGCTACGGAATGGTGGGACTCGGCGATCCTGGCTCCAGAATTGCAGGACAACGCTAGTTATTGCAGTCGTCATTCGGAAGAGGAGAATGGGAGGACCATGTTTTATAGTGGGGTTGCATGTCAGGATTGCTGTCGTCGCTGGTTGTATCATCCACGCTCCGGCTGCTCGCGTGTGCGCGATGTACGTTCTATGTGTCCACCCTCTCTTTCTGCCGCTCCCTCTGTCTCTCTCTAGCTCTCCCGCCCTCGCTCCCTCCCTCCCTCCCCTCCCTCCCTTCACCTCTCTCTCTCTCTCTTTCCCTCCCTGCCTCTCTCTCTCTGTATTCATATATGTATCTATGTATATATACAGATCTGTCGCTCTCGCCAACACTCGAACCTCGCCGCGCCATCCTCCGCTTCTCCCTCCTCCGCTCGCGCCCCCCTCCGCCTCGGCGCCCCTCGCCCCTCCGCGTGCTGCGCCGCACTCGCCCCCGCTCGTCGTCGCCCCCGCCTCCCCGCCTGCGGGCCCAGTGCGGGCCAGATGGCCGCCCGCGCGCGCAGGCGGGGAGCCGCGCCGCGCCTCGGCCTGGAGGCGCGCGTGGAGGAGGCTCCGGCGGGCCCCCGCCCTCGCGGGCGAGGGGACAGCGCGGCCGTGGACAGCGCGGCCGGGGCCTCGACAGCTCTCCGATGTTGTGGCCCCCCGCGGGGCCCGCGCGCACGCAGGCGCCCAGGCACCCCCTGGCGGGGGGGGAGGAGGAGGAGGAGGAGGAGGAGGAGGAGGAGGAGGAGGAGGAGGAGGAGGAGGAGGAGGAGGAGGAGGAGGAGGAGGAGGAGGAGGAAGAGGAGGAGGAGAGGCAGACACCAGCCAAGCCAGCAGCCAGATCCTCGCCTGCAGAGGTCCCCTCTTCTCTCCCGTCCCCCTCACCCCCTTCTCCGCGAAGGCTTCTGCGGCTCCTCGGGCGAAGTCGCCTCGCCCGAGGGGCCCCCGCGGCCAGCGGAGCCGCCGCCGGGGCTGCGGGCGGCGGGGTGCGCGCTGCGGGCGCGAGCGGGGCAGGCGGCCCGCGGTCGGGGGGAGGGGCGAGGCTCGGCGGTTGAAGGATGGGGCCCGGAGGGATAGGGCTCTAAGGATATCGGTGGTTCAATGGGGTCCTGAGGGATGTGGACCTAAGGAGCGGATGGGATCCAATGGTGGATTTACGTTGTTTGAGGCACCTCGTCCTTACGACCCCATTCCTCACGACCCCATCTGTGAACCGCCGAGGATAGGAAGGGATCTCGAGTTGAAGTTGCAGTGGGGCCGCTCATCAAGAAGCCAGGTGCTGTTCGTCGGGGTAGCCTGGGTTTCTTCGCTGCGCGGTGACTGACCGCGGGCGTCGAGGACTTGCTGCGATCAGGGTGCCATGGGCTTCCCCTCAGTTGCATTTCGTGCGCGGACATTCGTGGCTGGGTTTCTTGCGAGGGTCTCCTGTGATCGCGTCCGCGTTATACATTGCTTGAGGCTTCTCGTCCTCAGGGTCCCATCTCTCAGGGTTCTATTTTTGAACCACCGGAAGGTGGGCGCGCTGCACGAGGATGAGCGTGATGGCCTTGCTTCTTTCCGGCCCTGGGGAGGAGGGTGGCTCTCATCGAATCGGGGCTTCCTCTTATCTGCCTTCCTCCACGGTTGCCCACCTCGTTCCTCAGCCATTTGGCTGGGTGTTGATTGGCTAGGTGGAGTTGCCCCTCTCGGCTGACCGCGTCTTGGCCCCGTTCCCACAGCGGCGGGCGGGCGCATGGCGCCACGTATTCAGGCAGAGGCGTCCTGAGGTGTGCCCGCGGGCCTGCCCACTTGTCATACTAGGCTGTTTGGAAGGCGTGTGCGAGATGCTGTGAGAGAATCTCAGGCTGAGGCAGTACGGCCCTAGTTTTAATATTTCGCTTTTTTGTTCAGGACGTGTTTGTTGCAAATTGATTATTCACTTGCTCAAGAAGTCAGCGACAGGCGTGTGGTGATCCAGGGACGACCAACCTCAGCTCAACCGTTTCTTGGCATGTTGTACGTTTCTCTTTGCTGTTCTATCTGCGTATGGAGATCGCGGCAGCGACCTCGACCTTGTGCTGATGATGGCGATGTCGATGATGGTGTGTCGGTGACGATGATGAGGATGGGGACGATGAGGCTGGCGATGTGCCATCATCGTCAGCGTCAGTGTTGATCGTGGCATGCGACCCGTCTGGGTATTAATGACTGATGGTTTTCTTGACACCTGGCTCGGGGTTCAGGGGAGGGAAGGGGTGGCGAAAGCGGCTGCGTGTAACTGCTTTCGGCTCCACCGCCAGGAACCTCATCGATACATAGTCGTTCTCTGCGTCACGAGGCGACTAGAACACCAGCTGCATACAGCTAATTCGTGACCCCTCTCTTTGCTACCCCAAACTTTTGTCCACCCCGGTTGATGGGAGTTTGGTCTCATTCGTTTGCTGCTTTGTCGGGAATCGCTTCAACGCTTGGCTTGATTTGCGAACATTTCAAGGGCTGACCAATGCTTGTTTCCGCCCTCTGGGACGATGCCCAGCATGCTGCGTTGAGCGCAGCTTTTGTCGAACTGTCATATGTAATTCAGCCGCCCGTGCCGCACAGAAAGCGCGGGCCCGCCGCAAAACCAAGTCTACGTGGCTCGTTGCGCACGTCGCGTATAGGGCCACGTAGCCCAGTCGCATGTGTGCGCAGTTGTGCTGTTTATGTCTTGGGCGACTGGCCAGGATCGAACAGACACCCAGTCAATTATTCGCCGATGCACCCGATGCATCAGACACTGAGGAACAACTGACGCTATTGCGTAATTGTGGGGTGGAGGGTGGAGGAAGGAGCAGAGACGAGGGAGACCCCCTAGAAACACCAGGGCCCCTTTAAAGCCTCCCTAGAACACCCCGAATCTCCACTTCTCGTTTCTGTCTGCTCCCTCCACCGCTCAGCCCTGCTTTACACAGGCCTCGAGCCCGAAGCCGCCCTCCAGGGCTCATTTCGATTTCTCCGATTCGATTCGATTCGAATTCGATGGCCTCCGATTCCGATTCGATTCGACTTCGGATTCCCATTTGGATTCCGATTCCTCAATGGATGACCTACTAGCCTGCGGGTTTCTGTCGATTCGACTTCCCCCGACGTGGCTGCTGATTTTCGCCGATGCGATACATTTCGATCGCCGATCCGACTTGTCGATTCGATTCTGGGCTCTCTTGGCCCTCCCTCTTCCCTTCTCCACACCCCGGATTTGTCATGGTCTCGCAGCTCGTGTGCACGTATTCCCTCGGCAACGCTATAGAGGCCACGGCCTCGCCCGCCCAACCTTAGATAGATAAAGCCTAGAGCATGCTTCGCATCGGTGGATTGCTCGCCCGCTCGTTGTCCACAGCTCGATCCCCGATCCCCCTGCTTTCTCTTGGTTCCTCGGGGCGCACACTATGCGCCCGCAGGTGGCACTCCCGTCTTTGGCTCAATCTGTCCCGTTTGGGATCAAGGCCACGGGACGGGGCTCGAGAGGCTGTTCACAGCGCTGCAGGGGTTCGACGGCGCAGCGTGACAGCGCAGAGGCCACGACGCTCGGCCGCCAGCGCGTGCGGGGAGTGCACGGGCGTCTCGGATGCTCGGAAAATTCTTCGGAGCACATGCGGAAGCCGACGCAGTCCCCTGCAGCGCCGGGGCCGCCGCGCCTGCGAGATGCCGTCGGTGGCGGCAGGCAGGCCGCACCGCGCCTCCGAGGCCGGTGGCAGCGGCTGCCGATCTGCGCCCCCGGCCGCGCCGCAGGCTCCAGGTGCAGGGCCTGTCGCTGCCCAGCGACAGGTCGGAGGCGGAGCTGGAGTCCGACAGCAGCCGCTGCGCTGGGGCCAGCGCGAGCGAGGCGTGCGAGGAGTGGGAGCAGGCCCTGTCGCTGCTCGGCGGTCTGTTGGAGGCAGCCTGTGAACCTGACGTCGTCAGCTACAATGCTGGGATCGGCGCGTGCGGGATAGCGGGACAGTGGCAGCAGGCTCTGTCGTTGCTGAGTGAGATGTGGGAGGCGGAATTGGATCCCGACGTCATCAGCTACAATGCTGGGATCGGCGCGTGCGGCGCGTGCGATACAGGGGGGCAGTGGCAGCAGGCTCTGTCGCTACTCAGCGAGATGTCGGAGGTGAAGTTGGAGCCCGACGTCATCGTCTGTCCTATGTATACAATACCGCTGTCAGCACGCGCGCGCGCGAAATGGCGAGCGGTGGCAGCAGTAACCGGTCCCCTCCGGGCCTTTCCGTGGGAGCCCACACGGGGCCCGGGCCGCTCCGGGCGGGCCCTCGGAGCCGCCTCGGTAGCCTTCGGAGAGGCCCCGATGGCGCAGGAGACGGCGCAAGACTGCCGAACATGGCCCCCAGACAGCCCAAGAGGCGCCCATGACTCCCCCAAAGACTCCCAGGGAGCGCTTCCAAAGGCCAAATTCATTGACTTTCTATGTTTTGTATGTTTTTCGTGTTCTCACTTTTTTCGGCTTCAGCCGGCCAAGACGGCCTCAGGGGCCTCCCAGATCGTGCCAGGGCGGCCCCAGCGACTCGCAAGAGCGCCCCAAGATGGCCCAAGAAAGCCCCAAGACGGTTCCAAGACGGCCCCAACACGGTCCCGGAGGGCCCCAAGAGAAGTCCCAGAGAGGCCTAAAGGGTCCCAGAGGCTCCCAAGACGGCCCAAGCCGGCCCCAGATGGTTCCGAGCCGGCTTCGCAGGGCCCCAAGAGGTCCCCAAGACGGCCCCAGAGGGCCCCAAGACGGCTCCAGAGAGCCCGAGGACGGGCCAAGAGGGACCCCAGAGCCTCCCCAAGAGGCTCCCACGATGTTTTTGAACTGCCTCAAGAGTGCCCAACAGAGTCCCGACAGGACTTTCCCAGATGCTCCCACGACAACTTCAAGAGAACCTAAAACAGGGCACATGCTGCAGTTCACAAAGAGCCCCAGCCACCGCTCTTCTCCCGTCCTTGCCAGGGGCCCTTGGACACTCCGGGTCGTCCTTCCAGTGACCCAGACGGCCGCAGCGCTTGCACGGAAGAGTCTGTTTGAGCCTCTTGACCCGTTCGACATTGGCACCGCTGCCTCCCTTCGCACCGCCGCTGTAGAAGTCACTTGCCTTCTCCGCCTCGGCGTGGGCCTTCCTTGCCTGGGTCATCATCAGGGTGTTATCCGTCAGGAAGGCCAGTAGTTCCTCAGGAACCTGTTCGTACTCAGCCACGTCTTCTGCCCCCTGATCGTCCTCGGACTCCATCTCTTCGTCGTACTCCGCGTCTTCGGGCCACTCGCCGTCGTCCTCCGCGGCGTCATCAGGGTCGTCCTCCTGGCCCCCACGCACCGCGTTTACGGCGCGATCCCCACCGCGGCCCGCGGCCCGCGGCCCGTCCTGGCCATCGACGGTTCCGGTTCAGGTACTCTCAGTGGGCTCCGCCTCCGCCACCTGCGCTTTGCGGCAGGGTTGACGTCCTTCGCAGCATCGTCACGCTGGGCAGGCACGCCTTGGCGGAGTCGCGCAGCTTCTCGTAGACCAGCTCGTTGCCAGCGCCTGTGATGATCTGGCCCTCCTTGTCGCCGCCCACTCGCAACTTCTTGAGGAAGTAGAGCGCCCTCAGGTGTTTGTTCAGAGGCTCGTCCACGGCCTTCTCGAGCTTGCGGATCTTCGTCTCGTAGCGCGTCTCGAAGTCCAGCACCTCCTCGCCAACGTTGCGCGCGAGCTTCTCCACGAACTCGTCCACCAGCGTGCCATCCTTCAGCGTCTCCTGCTGGTCGTACTTGCTGTGCAGATGCCGCAGGAGCACCTGCACGCCGTCGGGCACGGCGAGGGCCTCGGGGTCGAGGCTCTCCGCCTTCGCCGCAGCATCCCCCTGGAGCCTGGAGAGCAGCCGGCCGCCCCGCCGCTGATGGCGGGATCGCAGTATTCAGCTCAAAAATCTTCAGCCGGCGCTCGTATGTCAGGAGGGGAAAGAACACACAGACACAATTAATCGTCGATTCCCAGGAAAATATGGGAAAACATGGGGAGTGGGTTGGAAGGTTGGAAGACAGAAGCCCAGAAGATATAGGGAAGTATAGGGAATCTTTTTATTTGTATGTATTTATTTGTGTGTCCTGGGGCCCCTTCAGTATGTACGGAGCGGCACCGACTTGCCGTCCCACTCGGGGGCGTACTTCTCGTCTCCCCGGTTGCGCCCGTCTCCGTCGCCGACGGCTCGCCAGCCGTCCCAGCTCCAGGTCTCCGACCGTTCGCTGGAGGACCGATCCCGACCTGGGTCGGCCCTGGCCTCCGTCGTCACCCGTGCCGGGCGGGCGCCGCGTCTGGCTCACAGCGACGTTAGCTACGATCCCACAGTAGATGCGACGGTGCCGCTCGTGTTTCGCTATTGCTGCTGGGTATGGGATCGCAGGGCGAACGATTCCGACCTGCGCAAAGCTTGGCAGTTTGCTCACGAGGCTTTGACTGCGAGATCTTCGTGGGCCCAGGTTCGAGGGCCCATCGGGGGCCCCAGCGCCCCTGCACCTCGGACCAGGAACTCCCCCACCCACGCCAGGGGAGTCCGCGAGTGCCCCAGTCGCTCCACGAGGCCCATCCGCCACAGCAGCGCCACGCCTCGCCCACGGGGGCCTCCCGCACCGCGGGAGGCTCCTCCGGCGCGCGCCGCAGTGGCCGCGTGCCGCGGTCGGCCCACGTGCCGTCGTCGGCCGATCGGAAGCCATCGTCTGCTTCTGGGCCACCGGCCCGGGGGCTGTCCCCTTCCTCCGCACGCCGTGCGAGGGCTCGAGCTGCTGCCGCCCAAGCGTCCATGCCCCTTGCTGGGGACAGGTCGATTCCCCACTAGGGTCAGGCCTCGCTGAGGCTCCTCCGCGGCGACCTATACGCGGCGGCACTCCGTGCCGTGGATCGAACCCGCTCGACGGCAGCTCCGCTACCAATGTCGATGCGATGTGCTTTTTCACCACAAGCGGTTCTGCCTTGCTGCCGGCAGGTCAAAAGAGGCTAAGCCCTCCCTCCGCCCTAGTGTCGGGAGGGCTTGTATCAGAAAGCGGCGTCGGGAAGGGAGGTAGGCGGATGTGGCAGCTGTGAACTTCAACAGGATGGCAGGGTGCTTCGCAGATTCCCTCGAAGGCCGGTCCACTTGGGGCGCTCTCCGAGCGCCCCCGAAGGCCGGCTCCGTCCCGCCTGAAGCTGCAGGGTAGGCAGGAGCGGGCCCCACGAGACCACAAGGAGGCTTCGAAGACGGCTTGAAGCGCATTCCGCGAGAGCCTCAAAGCAAGCAGAGTGACGCCAGTTCCTTTTGGGCCCTCTTGGGGTGCACTTGGGGCCCTGATGGAGCCTCTCAGGAGCCCGCCTGACTTCTGCCTGGAGCCCCAGGGTAGCTCCGAGAGGGCCCCGAGAGGCTTCAGGGGGAGACCTCCAGAGAGCTCCAGAAGCAAGTGGCGTCACTCCACTTGCTTTTGGATTCTCTCCGGGCCCACTTGGGGCCCTCTCGGAGCGCTCCCAGGCGCCGCCTAAGACCCGCCTGAAGCCCCAGGGTAGGCCCAAGCAGGCCCCAAGAGGCCCCAGAAGAGCTTTTGGACTGGGTTCAAGCGTATTCCAAGAGAGCCCAAAAACAATAGGAGTGACGCCACTTGGTTGTGGATTCTCTCCGTGCCCACTTGAGGCACCTGGGGCGCTCTCCGAGCGCTCCCAGAGGCCACCTCAGTCCCGCCTGAAGCCGCAGGGTAGGCAGGAGCGGGCCCCACGAGACCACAAGGAGGCTTCGAAGACGGCTTGAAGTGCATTCCGTGAGAGCCCCAAATCAAGTGGAGTGACGCCACTTCCTTTTGGGCCCTCTTGAGGTGCACTTGAGACTTTGATGGAGCCTCCCAAGAGCCCGCCTGATTTCTGCCTGGAGCCCCAGAGTAGCTCCGAGAGGGCCCCGAGAGGCTTCAAGGGGAGACACCCACCAAAGAGCACCAAAAGCCCTCCAAGATAGCCCAGCAGAATGTGGCGTAACTTCACTTGCTTTTGGATTCTCTCCGGGCCCACTTGGGGCCCTCTCGGAGCGCTTCCAGGCGCCGCCTAACACTCGCCTGAAGCCCAAGGGTAGGCCCAAGCAGGCCCCAAGAGGCCCCAGAAGGGCTTTCGGACCGGGTTCAAGTGTATTAGAGCCCAAACGCAAGTGGAGTGACGCCATTTGCTTGTGGAGGCGCGCCCTACAAGCACTGACCCCGTCAACGTCGATAGCGGTGATCACACCACAGGTACACATTAGTCAGCTACAACGCTGTGGTGAGTGCGTGCAAAAAGGGCCAGCAGTGGCAGTGGGCTGTGTTGCTATGTAGGGAAATGTGGGATGTGAAGTTGGAGCCTGACGCCACCAGTTATAATGAGGGAATGAGCGCATGCAATGCCGGCAGGCAGTGGCAATTGGCTTTGGCAATGTTCAGTGAGATGTCGGAGGCAAGGGTGGAGCGTAATGTCAAGAGCTATAACATTGGGATTAGCGCGCACCAGCGAGGCAGGCGGTGGCATCGGGCCATGTCATTGTTGGGCGAGGCATGGGAGGCGAAGCTGGAGCCCGACGTCATCAGCTACAATACTGTGATTAGCGCGCTGGAGAAAGGCAGGCAGTGGCAGCGGGCTTTATTGATGCTCAGCGAAATGGCGGAGGCGAAGTTGGAGCCCAACGTCAATAGCTACAACATCGGGATAGGCGCGCATCAGAAAGGCATGCGTTGGCAGCAGGCCATGTCGCTGCTCAGCGAGGTGTGGGAAGTGACGCTGGAACCCGACGTCGTCAGCTTCAATGCGGTGACCAGTGCACTCGAGAAGTGCAGGCAGTGGCAGCGGGCTTTGTTGATGTTCGGCAAGATGTGGGAGGCAAGGTTGAGGCCAACCATCATCTATATTGCAATACCGGTCGCAGCGCGTGCGAAACAGGTAAACAGTGGCACCGATCTCGCCCTCGGCTGACCCCTGGAGGCCCCCGGAGATTCCCACGGGCCTTCCAAAGAACCCAAGGACGGCCTGAATGGCCGCAAGCGGCTCACGCGAGGCTTGCAGGAGGCTCCGAGGACTTACCAGAGGCTCGCCTAAATAGCCCCAGGAGGCCTCAATGTTGCGAGCATGTGGCTCTGAGACGCCCCCCCAGCCGTCCTGGAGGTGAAGCAGGTTCCAACCCGCAGGATCTTGGAACAATCCTGCAAGACCACACGTTTCACACAATACGGTTCCACAGGCTCCAGTGGCTTCAGAAAGGGCCTCGGCAGCCCCCCAGGACACGCCACGAGGCGCTACCAAGATGGCCGTGGCTGGCCTCCAAGACGGCCCCATAGACAGCTTCCAGACTACCCGAGACCGCCCCAACGGTGCCCCAGGGCTCCTCCCAATCAGCCCCAGACCTCCTACAAGCCGCATCCTGAGTTCCCAGGGGACGCCAAAAAGGCTCAGTGTCCCCCGCCAAGACTGCTCCGACGCCATCCGAAGACGTCACACAGGACGCCCAAGTGACGCCAAGATGGCCCACAGAGACGACAGGAGGGCCTCGGGCTAGCCCGGGAGGGCTTCAAGAAGGCCCGACGATGGCTCCGTGAGGGCCTCGCCGACCGCCTCCGTCCCTGCTCTCTCTCCCAGTTCCTACCCGTCCCATCCTCGCTGCTACCTCCTCTGCCCCCCGCTCTGTTGCGTCCAGTTGCGTCCTTGCGAGTTCGACCGCAATGCCTCAGCTCTGGCGGCGGACCAGCGGAGTACGCCAACGTCGACGGCGACTTCCCCAGCTGCCTTACGCAACGACCCCTTGCGGCCATCCCTAGCGACCCCCCCCCCAGCACCGCCAGCACCAGCCATCGACACCAGTGGCACCACCAACCTCACCATCGTCCACGACGACCGCATCGCGGAGCTTACACGAGACGTACAAAGTTACCATTGAGATGCAGTTCTAATCAACGAGACCTGGAGGACACAGCCAAAAGAGCTTTGGACTACAGTGGAAAGACATACCTTCGCAGGGTCTGGGAACGACAGGCGCTGCCATGGAGTAGCAATTCTCTTACGCAAGCGCTGGAGCCGTCATATATTTGAGGTTCAGGCAATCAGCGCAAGACTGGCCACAATGACTGTTAAAAGAGGGCGCATTCGATTACAGTTCGTTTCAGCATACTTTCTACACACTGGGTAAATGGACGCACACGTACAAAACATGCACGACGGGATTGGTGCTATGCTCAAGGAGGCCCGCGCCCGCAACGTACGGACCATTCTCGCAGCAGGCTTCCGTGCCCAGGTTGGTGCACTGCCCCGCCCAGACCCGGCACCGACGGGTGCCACAGCGACCATCCACGACGTTTCCTCTCGCTTGGCGGGGCCCCACGGGTACGGCGACGAGCGCTCCAGAGGGCACTGGTTGCGACACTGGGCCACGACCGAGAGGCTCGCCATCGTAAACGCGCTCTTCCGCAGCACCCACACACACAAACATATGACTTTCGCCACGACCGCGGGCAACCCGCGACCATTCGATTCCATACTGGCAGACTGAAGCCTATCGGGAGGGGAAAGAACACACAGACACAATTAATTCTCGATTCCCAGGAACATATGGGAAAATATGGGAAGTGGGGGGAAGACAAAAACCCAGGAAATATGCGAAAATATGGGGAAGATTTTTATTTGTGTGTGCTTATTTGTGTGTCCTGGGGCCCCTTCAGCCTACTTCCTGTATGCACCAACGCCGAGGCCGCGAACATCGCAGATCTCAGCTCGGACCACAACGCTGTCGTACTTCACATTCGCTTCCCGGTTCTGCCGAACGGTCAATCTACATGCCATCCAGGACATCCCACGTCACGGGCCGACACTTGCAGCGGTCTTTGGGCACGCGTGGACTTCGACGACAACCGACGACATTTGGGTCTCCAGTTACAACCGGCGGCACTTCCGACAGACCCGCAGGAGATCAACCTCATCATCGAGAAGAGCCTGTGCACCTCCACAACTCACGGAGCTGCCGCCGAGGCGGCGCCCTCACGAGCAGCCACGACCAACACCAACCACGACACCAAGCACCAGCAACACGACGACATCATCGAATACCTGATCAAGCAGCGACAGAACACGCCTACTGCAAACAGCAATGCCCGACGAGCAGTCAGCAAACAGATACGACAAAGCATTCGACGACAGAAGCGGGCTGACCGGAGGGAGCGAATCAGCACCGTATTGGAGCAGTACAAGGGCCTCAAAAACGTCCGCTCCATCAAAAAACGGCCGAGGAGGACTCTAATTACAGAGATGGTGGGGGCCGACGGCAGCAAGCAGACAACGGAAAACAACAAGAAAGAGGGATAGCAGACACATTTGCAGATGTCTACGATCAGCTGTATACTTCTTCCCGCAGCCTTGACCCCACGCCAACCGCAGTGCACGAGCCACCTGAGATTCCACCTTTCACGCCGACGGAGCTCACCGCAGCAATATCACAGCTCAAGGGCGGCAAAGCACCAGCCACTAGCGGAATTCGCGCTGAAATGCTTCAAGAATCAGGTCCAGAGCTCCAGCGTGCCTTACTACAGTTGTACAAGACAATCATACAGGCAGACGCCCTTACGCCGGCCAGCTGAAAAAGACGCGATTTGACGCTTCCACAGATTCATCACCCGATCAACCAACCCTAGAACGACAGCGACCCGACGACCAGGCGGGCTCTTCGCCCCGCACGAGGCACGCGCGACCACCTCTTTATTCCCCACATCCAAAGTGGGGTTCTCGTTTTCTCTGGACACCCCGCGCAGGAACAGGAACCCACCATCATCATCATCATCATCATCATCATCATCATCATCATCATCATCATCATCATCACTCATTCTCACTCACTCACCCATCATCCCTCCCCCCCTCACTCACTCACTCACTCACTCACTCACTCACTCACTCACTCACTGACTCATCAGCACTCACATATGATAATGGTGAGTGTGCGCGTGAGAGAGTGTGATGATCATCATCATCATCACCAGTCTGTCAGTCACTCACTCACTCACTCACTCACTCGCCTTGGGCCTCGTCTGTGAGTGAATTACGAGGAAGTCTGAAGCGGGAGCCCCCTCCCTATGGGGCCCGCGGATCATGTTACTAATCCGAGCGGGTCATCCAATTCTTGTAACTGTCGCCACTTGTGGGCTCTCGCGCTGCCAGAACGCCATTCCCAGGCCACATTTGTGAGTGAATTGCGAGGAAGTCTGAAGCGGGAGCCCCCTCCCTATGGGGCCCGCGGATCATGTTATTAATCCGAGCGGGTCATTCAATTCCTGTAACTGTCGCCACTTTTGGGCTCTCGCGCTGCGGGAACGCCATTTCCAGGCCACATTTTGAATGCCCGGAGCCAACTGTAGGCCACTTCGTGTTCTTCGTGCTCCCAGAACACCACTCCCGGGCCACATTTTGAATGCCCGGAGCCAACTGTAGGCCACTTCGTGTTCTTCGTGTTCCCAGAACACAACTCCCGGGCCACTTTCTGAATGTCCGGAGCGAAAACAGGAGGGCGAGGTCGGGGGCAACGTAGGGAACGGGGGGAAGGCCCGCGCCAGGGCGAGAAGAAATATACGCAGAAGTGACAGCCAGGACGCCTCACCAACCACGAGGACGACGGTGAGGGCTTTTTTCCAGATTCGCCCAGAGGATTCTCATGCGGGGTCCTTCCGTCGGAGTAATTTTCAATATCCTATGTGAAAGGGCAGCCGACTGGTAGCAGAGTCTCTGGGTTGCAGCCATGGACTTCAAAAAGGCTTTTGACACAGTCGAACACGACAGTCTGTGGGCAGCTCTGCTAAACCAAGACGTCACGCCTGGGAACGTAGACCTTCTACGACGCATGTACAAACACCAAACAGCCGTGGTCCGCACCGACACCACCAGTAAAAGGTTCGACCTCCAACGCGGCACAAAGCAAGGGGATCCACTGATCTCAGTGCTAGTCAATGCGTTACTCCAACACGTCTTACTACCGCTGATCTGAGATTGGCAGAGAAAACACCAAGGCGTCCAACTGGGACACACCGGCGCGGCGACACTCACGAACCTTCGGTTCGCAAATGACATTTTGCTGACCAGCCAAACACGGCCCAACCTAAGAGCGATGCTTTCCGACCTCATCACCGCAGCAAAACAGCACGGACTGGGATTGCACCCGACCAAGACCAACATCATGACTAATCAGCCTCGACACCGCGACCGAACAGCTACCCATCGGTCGTTGAAAGTAGGTATTTTTGGATTCCCAGATTCCAATCTACTTTCAGCGCCTTCCTACTTCAAGAGTCGAGTGGTTTTCCCTCTTCCCTCCTCTTCAGGAGGCGGGCGGAAACCCAATCTATTTCCAACGCCTTCCTACTTCATGTTTTTACCTACTTCTTCCGACCGACGTGTAAAGTAGCAGGAGTGTACATCGTCATTTTACCACGAAGAAGCACTTTCGCCGACCTGGGCCAGACCATTACTTTCCACGACGCACCCGGAACCGAAGTAAAGTACTGGATTCAAGCTGAATGGGCACGTTTCAGCAGCCACAGACAAGAAGTCACCAGCAAACATTTTCCACTGCGACACCGATTGCGACTATACATGGGTACCGTCATCCCTATTATGACGTACGGAGCAGAGACGTGGACGTTGACAGAGCCTTTCAAGCAGCAGTTACGCAGAACACAACGACGGATGGTACGAATCATAATCGGGACACCAAGGAGACGCACGGCACCGACACCGACACCACAACACAATCCAGAGACATGCCCAGACAATCACAATGACACCAGCAGCACAGCACCAAACGACTCCAGCGAGTCCGACGTTTGCAGCGACCCACCTGCACACCAGCCAAACGCGCACGACGGCGTCAGCGACGACGAAAGCACGCAACCGGGCAATACGCAGAACGAGGGCGTCGAAATGTGGTCCTATTTCATCCGCAGGAGTACACGGAGAGCAGCGACATTGATGCTGAAACATGATATACCAGATGTTTTCCACCTGCACCGAAGGATGGCCTGGCGCTGGGCAACTACGGTGGCTCTCCACCCTCCGACACGCTGGACACAGAGAGTGCTTAATTGGAACCCAAATCCCAACACCCGACAACCAGGACGACGGCACAAGGAGGGCAACAAAAACGATGTGACGACGACATCCGGAAGTTTCTCCACACATGGGACGGGCACCACTGCGACACCGACACCAGGCAGGAGCAGATCCGAGCGGCGACCCAGCCACGACAACACCAAAACAACAGCAAACACGACCTGCGGTGGTTATCAGCGGCTGGGAGCACTTAGTGGTGGTTAGCCTATGTTTCACATGTTTGAGGCCACGGCCTCCACGCCATGCCCTAATGGGCACGGGCGTGCTCCCCGTAGGAGCATGCACGCCTCTGGCGTTTCGCTTCGCTTCTTCCCCCCCGCTCTCCTTATCGCTTGTCGTTTCGAAGCGAAGACTCGTAACCCGACGTCGTGGCCAGAGGGAGAAGGTCGCTGCTGAGAAAGTAGAAACATTTCGAGACGTCCCGTGTGCGGCTTCGAAGTGCACTCGGACACAAGGAGTTTCCACAGTTTTGATGTGTCGGCATCGGCATGTTTTGTATTTCGGGGTCATTCTATTGAGACAGCCGAGCGATATATGTAACAACAATCCCCCTGCGGAATCCTCAAAGCCTTTTGGACGTTCCACGATGTCAAAACCAGTTCCTGGGGCGCTCCAAGACGGGCCAGGAGGGCCCCGATGCGATCCCAAGCGGTTTGGGACGTCACCGGCGGTCCAAGAGGTCGTCAATATGGCCCATCATGGCCCAAGAGGGCTCCAATGGGCACCCCAGGAGGGTCCCTTAGAGGCCCGAGTCATGTTCCTTTGGTTTTTGATGGGCTTGGACGTTCTCGCCTTGTCGAGGTTCTTACGCTCCAAGACAGCACAACAATTCCCCAATCTCGGACCACAACGTCCCAGCATGCCTCAAGTAGGCCCCCAGATTCTGGGCCCCAAAACGGCCCAAGAGGCCCATAACGGCCAAGAGGGCCCCAAGAGGGGGAACTCGAACTGAGATTTCGCACCCTCCGCCCCAAGCTGCCCTTCGAGATTGCCAGCAAGGTCCCAAGAGCCCCCCCCAGAAACCCCAAGAGGCCCCTGAGAGGCCCAACTCAGGCCCCAAGAGGCCCGAGAGGCCCCACCGCCAACACCGTCCTTCGAGAGGCTTTCGAGGGAAGATCCTTCAGAGAGCTCTGGGGCCGTGCCGACCACCCAAGAGAGTCCCATGAGCGACTCAAGAAGAATTCAGATGTTCGGCCACACGCGCGCCGAGGCTATTGAGACATCCGTGTGCTGGCCTCACTTCTCGGCCGTCGCCCTTCCTTTCTCGCTCTTTGATCCTCGCTTCTCGTTTCACTCACGAGCTGCAGGTTGCGTCAGCTAGCAAGGGTACCAAAGAGCAGCACCTTGCAGCCTCAAGCAGCAACAGCGAACAGCAACAGTCCGCAGCAAGCAGCGGCAGCACACAGCGAATGTTAACAGCAGCAGCAGCAGCAGCAGCAGCATGCCGCAGGCAACAACATCAGAGGCGAAGTTTGGGCCCAACGTCGTCACGGAAGCCTTTCAGTACCATCTCTGATTTGGCCCAGCGTGCTATTTCGGCAGATCTCTTGGCTGGCTGGCCACGGGTCAGCATGAGTCTTCTCTTCTACAACGCAAGGGCAAGTGCGTGCGAGAAAGGTTTCTTGCATCGAGTGGGTGCCAGGCGGCTCCCAGGCGCGCCCCTACAGCCTCGCAGAGGGACCCAAGATGCCACCGACACGGCCCAAGTGACACCCAATCTAGGCCCCTGAGCCCCCAGACACGCCCCCAGGAGGCTCAGAATCGGCCGACGTGAACGATCTCAATTTCAAAACTGCCGATCGTGCAGAGTTGAGCGTTCCAGGCGGTGTCAAGAGCAACGGCGCAGCTCATCACGGCAGGAAGCCACCGTATTCCTTCGTCCACGGAGTCGCTGCCGCGGCACGCTCATGCGCTGCACTCTTGTCCTCCCCCACGCTCTGTCCACGAGCTCCACGAGCTGTTCGTCCACGCTTTGCTCTGTGGATGAAACATACGGTTTGAGAGTCCCAGGTTCAGCAAACCGTGGATTTTATCACCTGGGTTTACTCTAGTCTAGTCAGCTACAACGCTGGGATCAGCGCGTGCGAAAAAGGCGAGGAGTGGGAGCGTGCTCTGGCGCTGCTCAGGGAAATGCAGGAGGTGAAAGTGGAACCCGACGTTATCAGCTACAGCGCTGGGATCAGCGCGTGCGAGAATGACGGGCTTTGGCAGCAGGCTCTCGCGCTGCTCAGAGAGATGTGGGAGGCGAGGGTGGCTCCCAACGTCATCAGCTACAGCGCCGCGATCAGCGCGTGCCGGAAGGGCGGGCAGTGGCAGCAGGCCCTTACGCTGCTCGGCGATGTACGGCGGGCGAAGTTGACCCCCGACACCATCGACGTTGTTATGCCGCGGCCCGGCCCTGGGCGGCGCACCCTCGGTGCCTCCGGCTCTGGGGGAGACGCCGTCCTCGGCGCCACGACTTCCCGGTCGCCCCGCGTCGGGACGCCCGGGGAGTTTTGGGGTTTGGATTGCCGCCCCCGGCCCCGAAGCTAAAACGCCTTTTGCTGAGAGGACCGCGCGCGAGAGCCCCCAGAGGCGCCCACACGCGCACGAGGCTCTCCGACAGGCTTGAAAAGCCCCCCACCGTTTCGATACTCCCCAAATCGCCCCAAACGTCAAGTTGTTTCAGTGTTCCTCGCTTCCGCCTTCCTCCGCCAGTGCCTCACACAATCTCGCCGTGGCCCGACGCGCCTCGCAAGCGTTCTCCAGACGGCCCCAAGGGGGGCCCTGGGGCGCCCCATGCGGCCCCCAGCACGGCCCGCAGCGGCTCCAAGAGAGCCCCAGGACGGCCTCAGCGGGATCCCAGCAGGCCCGAGACGGCTTCGGACAGTCCCCAGACGGCCCGAGAGGGGTTTCAAAGGGCGCCACGACGGCCCAAAGACAGCTCCAAGAGGGCCCCAAGATGCCCCAGGCACGGCCCTAGAGTGTTCGAGCACGGCCCCCAGATCCAGCAGCAGCACAGTCAGAAGCGTCCTTCATGATTAGAGTGCAGCGGCATTCGCTAACCTAAGATAATTCAGCAGCGGACAGCAGCTGCATCCAGCCGCAGAAGGCATTATGATTAAGCCGCCAGCAGGCAGCAGCAGCTTGCAGCAGTAAGCAGCATCGGCGAGCAGCAACAGCTTTCGTCGACATCACCAGCGCTAAGCACCAGAGCAAGCAGCAGCACCCAGCCGCAGTACGAAGCTGCCCGCACCAGACAACAGCAGGCGGCAGCACAATGAAGGAATGGCAACCAGCATCAAGTCACAGCAAGCAGCACTACGTAACAGCAAGCGGCAATAAGTGGATGAGCAAGGAGTGAAGTAAGTACGCAAGCAGCCAGGCCAGCAAGACAGCGTACAGGTAGGCAAGCAGGCGCTGTCATGCCAGCACGTTGGCAGCCACGCGAGCAGGACAGCACACAGGCAAACAGAACTACGAGCAAGCAGCGCCAGCCTCGAGCAGAAGGCAGCAGTGGCAATACGCCGCCGAAAACGGCCCCAAGACGGTCCATGCTTGCCCCAAGAGGGCCCCCGCAGGCGCGGGATTGCCCTAAGGGGGGCCCTAAAGAACGCCCCATATGAGGCCCAGTAGAGCCCCAGTGTGTCTCCACAGTGTGCGCGTTGCTCCGCCGTCCATGCGGGCCCGCTTCACACGATGCCAGTCTTTGGGCCCTGGTGCCATGCCCTCCACAGGCGCTTCTGCAACTTATCCGCCACCCCGTGCCCATCTACGGCCATCTCTCATCAGCTATAATGCTGGGATCAGCGCGTGCGAGACTGGCAGACAGTGGCAGCGGGCCCTGGTGCTGATCTGCGAGATGCGGGAGGGGAAGCTGAAGCCCGACGTTTGCAGCTACAACGCCGGCATCAGTGCGTGCGACAGGGGAGCCCAGTGGCAGCGAGCCCTGGTGCTGTTCCGCGGGATTCGGGAGGCGAAGCTGGAGCCCGACGCCATCCCTGCCACCCCTGCCGGGGGCTGGCGTGTGCGAGCAGGCAGCAGTGTAGATGGCCGGCGGCCCCGGCAGACTCAGGTGCTGGCCCGTCGGCCCCCCAGACGCCACAGACGCTCCGAGGGAGCGCCCCCAGGACGGCCCGAGAGAGGTCCCCCAGGAGGGCCCCTAAGCAGCCGCCGGCAGGGCCATGAGACGGCCCTAGGACGGCCCAAGGCCGCCACACGACGACCCAAGGCACCCCCCGACCGCCCTCGTCCCCCCCCCCTCCAAGAGGCAAGAGGCCCCGAGAAGACGGTCCAGGAGGGCCCCAAGATGGGACGGGAGCCCACCGAGACGCCCTCACGGCGGCCCAAGAGGGTCCCAGGACGCGGCCCCAAGACGGACCAAGACCGCCCTAAGATGGCCATTTCAGCGCGCGAGGCCCTGGCGACGTTGGACCTCCATCTCGGCCTTTCGTCAGCGCTTCCGCTGTATCACCGCATGCCCGATCGGGCAGATTCCGTGGCCGGCAGGCCACGGACGGGTCAGCTCCAGTCTATTCTACAATACTGGGATCAGCGCGTGCGAGTTCAGGCAGAGTGGCTCGGGGCGGCTCCCCGCGCCCGGGGGGCGGGCCTCGACGGTCGCCGTCGCTCCCGGGACGGCCTTCGGCCGCCCAAGACGGCCCTTGGACGTTCAAGAGAGCGCCAGAAGCCTTACGAAGAGTCTCACCAAGGCTCAAGCTGCCCCCGAGACTCCCCAAAGGGTCCCAGGAGCAGAAAGAGACCTCCAAGACAGCCGCAGAGCACCCCCATGACGGCCCGAGTGGCTAAAGATCGTGCATTTTCGCTTTCGGGCCCCCTGGAGCAGCTCCATACGGCTCCTGGGAGCCCCGAAATGGTTTCAGTCTCGCCCGAGACGCCTCTACTAAAGCTCTTTGGATGGCTTAAACTAGTTGCCCACAGACGCCCCAAGAGAGCCCCAAGACTGGCCAATAGAGCCCCACGGGCCCCCCGAGACAGCCCCACCACGGTCCCAAGCGGGCTCCCGAACAGACTGGGCCCCCTACAGCCGACCCCAGCAGCCCCTCAACAACCTCCCTGGGCCCTATGAGGGCCCCAGACCTACAGGAGCACCATTCCAGTCCCCCAGAGCCCCGTGAGGGCCCCAAACCGAGGCAGAAGGCTTCCAGGACGGCAACAGAGCACCCCCATGACGGCCTCACAGCCGCCCGACGCCGCAACTCCTGAACCCCCCGCCAAGCCTCTGGACAAAACCAACACGGATGTCAAGTGTGTCCGGCCGCGCCCGCGGCCCCCAATGGGGCCTCGCCGAGGCTACGCCGGTGGCGTCTGCGGCCCTCGATGGGACCCCGCGGGGGCCCTTCGAGTGTTCCGTGACAGCCCCGCCGATCCTCTGGACAAAACCAACAAGGATGTCCATGTTGTCCAGCCGCGCCCGCGGCCCCCGATGGGGCCTCGCCGAGGCTACGCTGGCGGCGTCAGCGGCCCCCGATGGGGCCCTGGGGAGGCTCCACGAGCGTTCCAAGACAGCCCCGCAGAGCCCAACATGGCCCCGACACGGCCCCAGGGACGCCCGCGCTGTTCAACTTCGACGAGCTGTTCACCCACGGTGTGCGAGCCCCAGGTTCAGCACACCGTAGATTTACCCCACGGGTTCACACTAGTCAGCTACAACGCTGGGATCAGCGCGTGCGAGAAGGGCTATCAGTGGCAGCGGGCTCTGGCGCTGCTCAGTGAAATGTTGGAGGCGAAGTTGAATCCCGAAGTCATCGGTTACAACGCGGGGATTATCGCGTGTCAGAAGGGCGAGCAGTGGCAGCGGGTACTGGCGCTTCTCGGCGATATGCTGGGTGCGAAGGTGGAGCCCGACGTCACCAGCTACAGTGAGGCCGCAGACCTCCCAAATCTTCAGAACCAACATGGTTTCCAATGTCTTTGGCTTCTGAAGCGATTTGCCTTGATCTTGCCCCTGAAGCATATCATGCAGCATCGGAGTAGCTTGACGCGCTTTGGAGTCGATGTCCAGACACTCAAGAGGGCCCCAGGGTGCTCCATGAAGCTCCAAAGACGGTCCAATACTGCCCCCCAAGGGTCCCAGGACGTCGCAGCACGCCTTCGCATCACCAGCACCAAGCAGCAGGATGCAGCAAGCTTCAGCATGCCAGCAGCAACACACAGCACTAAACAACAGCGAACAGGAGCACCACTCCATAGCTATCAGCAGCACGCACCACCGAACAGCAGTCAGTTGCAGCAATCAGCATCGAGCAGTAGCGAGTTGCAGACAGCATATCTAAGCAGCGGCAGGCGGCAGCAAGCTACAGCGAGCAGATACGCAATCAATGAAGCAGGCACCCAAGAAGTCAGGCCAGCATACAGGCAAACACGGATTCAAGCAAGTTGCTGCATTGGGTGGCTCGCAACCACGCAAGCTGGAGAGCCCAAACGCAGGCAAGCAGCAGCAGCAGCAGCAGCAGCAGCAGCAGCAGCAGCAACAGCAGCAGCAGCAGCAGCAGCAGCAGCAGCAGCAGCTTGCAGTATGCAGCAGCAGGCAGTGGCAGCACGTATTAGCAACATCAGCACCAGGCATCACACATTGTCAGCACCAAGCCGAACCAAGGCGTGTCATGCACCAGGAAACGACGGCGATTGGCAGTGAGCGGACGATTAGCGCTGAAGCAAGCAGGCAGGCAAGCGAGATATCAGGTAAGCTAACCAGCATGCAGGTATGAAGGTCGGGACACGTACGCTGCACAGCACGCAAGCAGGCAAGCAATCCATATCCTTTCATGTGAGCAGGCTTTCGTGGACGCAACTGTTCACGGTCAGCCCTAGTCAGCTACAACGCTGGGATCAGCGCCTGCGAGAAAGACGAGCAGTGGCAGCAGGCTATGTCGCTGCTCTGTGACATGCAGGAAGCGAAGTTGGAGCCCGACGTGATCAGCTACAGCGCTGGGATCAGCGCGTGCGGGAAGGGCTCGCAATGGCGGCTGGCTTTGGCGCTGCTGCGAGAGATGCGGGAGGCGAAGCGGGAGCCCGACCTCGTCTATATCACAAATACCGGGCCAATTGTGTTCGAGATGGGGTCATTTACCAGACAGCCTACCTTTGGGCGGCGTCGCTTCGGCGGCTGCGCTGGGGGCCCTAGCCGTCCAGGGACCCCAGACGCCTCTCGGGTCGCCCCCACTCGGCCCCAGACCGACCTCAGAGGCTCCGCGCCCGCGCCCGAGAGCCCCCCCAGAGGCGCCAAGACGCGCAGGAGACCCTTCCCGACAGGCCGGAGCAAGTCTACAGAACAACCGAACATCCCAATCACATGTTTTTGTTGTTTGTTCTTGTTTATGCCAGCCAGCGTGGACCCCGAATGATGTGTTTCTAGCCATTTTTGCTGTGCAACAGATGTGGAGCAATGTCTGTGGTGCAATCTACGTGGTGCAATATTTGCGGTGCAATTTTGTTGTGCGATCTATGCTATGTAATCGATGTTGTGCAATTTATGTCGTGCGATATATGTTGTGCAATCTATCGAAGCCGCCTAAGGCGAATTACCGCCGCCCCCTGCCTTTTTGGAAGCGCCTGCGTGGCCGAAAGTTCTGTTTGAGCTTGGCCAAGCTATCGGGCCACGCGTTCCCCGAGTGGGTTTCGAAAGCATTCGGGGAACACGGAGTCGGGCGAGCTATCGGACCAGGTGGTTTCCGAGCTTTCGGGCCTCCTGGAGGACGTCTTGGAGGGGTATCAGGCCGTCTTGGAGGCCTATGGCGGGCCTTTTGGCCATCCTTCGGCCATCTTGAGGCCATCTGGGGCCGTCTTGGGTGCATCTTGGGGCCATCTTCGCCGTCTTGGAGGCCTTCTTGGCCGTCTTAGAGGCATCTCGGAGGCCATCTTGGCCGTCTTGGAGGCCATCTTGGCCGTCTTGGGCTCTTCTTGGGGCCCTCTTGGGGGCCCCTTGGCCTGTCATGGGGCCATCTTGGAGGCCTCTTGGGCGCTTTTGGGGCGATGTTAGGGGCCTCTTGTGCCGTCTTGGGCCGTCGGAGATCTGAAAAGAAGAAGATGCCAACATCCTGGAGGACGTCTTGGAGGCATCTTGGGCCGTCTTGGAGGCATTTTGGGCGTCTCTTGGGCCACCTTCGGCTCTCTTGTGGATATTTCTGCCGTCTTGGGTGCCATCTTGGTCGTCTTGGAGGTCATCTTGGCAGTCTTGAGGTATCGTGGACACCATCTTGGCCGTTTTTGAGACCTCTTGGGCCGTCTCGGGGCCCTCCTTGGGGCTGGTGTGAAGGCCTCTTGGGCCGTTCTGGAGCCAGGGCTCTGGGACTAATTTGGGGACTCCTTGGGCCGACTTAGGCGGTCGGAACACCAACACCGAGGAACAACAAACAATCTTCAACAACCTGGGGAAAATTGCAGATTTGGGCTTCCTCCAGCCTTCCTGGAGCACCTTTTGGACGCCTCTAGGGCAATCTTGGAACCTCTCGGGCCCATCTTGGGCCAGCTTGGCCGTATTAGCGGCCATCTTGGCCATCTTGAAGCTCATCTTGACCGTGTTGGAAGCATTTTGGAGGCCATCCTGGCCGTATTGGCGACCGTCTTGGACGTCTTGGAGGCCTCTGGGGCCGTCTTGGGGCCCTCTTGGGACCGTCTCGGGGGCCTCTTGGGCCGTCGTAGGGCCATCTTGGAGGCCTCTTGGGCGCTCTGGGGGCGGCCTGTCGTCGTGAGCCATCGGCAGGCTCGAAAAGGACAACATCCTTCAAAACACAAGAGAAACTGTTGATTTTGCTCTCGTGGAGGACCTCTTGGAGGCCTTTTGGGCCGTCTTGGAGGCCTCTTGGAGGCCTCTGGGGCCGTCTTGGGCCGTCTGAGAGGTTTCTTGTGCGAACTCGGAGGCATCTTGGTCTCTCCCGGGCCGTCTTGGAGGCCATCTTGGACCACCTTGGGCGAACATGGAGGCCATCTTGGGCCATCTTGGCCATCCTCGAGCCATCTGGAGCAGGACAAACTTTTGGAACCACCCTTTCCGGGGCATTCCGGGATCCCGGCGGGCAGGGCCGAAACCCCAGGTGGAGTTCTTTTGGAACAAGAAGCAAAACCATAAGCGAAAGGATTCAGCACGCCGGGCACCCATGTGATGAATCAACAGGGGGCGGCGGATCGAAGACGCCTACGGCGAGTCATTCCCGCCCCCTGCCCTTTCGGAAGCGCCTAAGTGGCCGAACGTTGTGGCCAGAGCCCTGCCAAGCTATCGGACCAGGTGTTCCCCGAATCGGTTTGGAAAGCCTTCGGGGAACACGTGGGGGAGGACGGGGAAGAGGAGGAGTGAGGAATGGGCGTGTTCGGGGCCCCTTGGGGGCTCTTGTGAGCTTTTGGAGGCGTCTTGGTGCCTGATGGCCGAAGGTTGGGTCAGATCCTCGCCAATCTTTCGGAACGAGTGTTCCCCGAATCGGTTTGGAAAGCTTTCGGGGAACATGTGGAGGAGGTTGGGGAAGAGTAGGAGGGTGAGGAAAAAGGGGAAGGGAGGAAGAGTCCTCTTGAGAGCCTCTTGAGGCACTCTGGGGCTCAATTGGGCCATCTTGGCGGTCTTGGAGGACTTTTTGTTTGGACCGTCATGTAGGCCAACTTGGAGTGATCTTGGGCTCTCTTGATGCTAATTATCTTGGCCATCTTGGACGCATCTTGGAGGCCATCTTGGGCCATATTGGCCGTCTTGGAGGCGTCTTGAGACAGTCTTGGAGGCCATCCTGGGCCGTCTTGGAGGGATCTTTCGTGGACTTTGAGATCCTTAATTGTCTTTCGAACCACTTTGCGAGGATCATAGCTTTTCGTCCGAAATTGGCTCGCTTGATGTTGGATTGTGTCATAGGCATTTGTTCCCAGAAGGTCATCTTGGCCGCCTGGAAGCCATTTTGACCCTGTCGGGCCTTCCTGGAGGACGTCTTGGAGGGCTCTTGGGCCGTCTTGGAGGCCTCTTGCGGGCCTTTTGGGCAGCCTAAGGCCATCTTGAGGCCATCTGGAGCCGTCTTGGGTGCATCTTGGGGCCATCTTCGCCGTCTTGGAGGCCTTCTTGGCCGTCTTGGAGGCATCTTGGAGGCCATCTTGACCGTCTTGGAGGCCATCTTCGGCGTCTTCGGGGCCATCTTGGGCCGTCTTGGGCTCTTCTTGGGGCCCTCCTCTTGGGGGCCTCTTGGGCAGTCATGGGGCCATCTTGGAGGCCTCTTGGGCGCTCTTGGGACGATATTGGGGGCCTCTTGTGCCGTCTTGGGCCGTGTTGGGGGCCTCTTGTGCCGTCTTTGGCGCTCCGGCGCCCCCGCCGAGCTCTTCGAGGACCGCCCCCCGGGGCGTACATCGGCGCCTGTCCTGTCCCATCCTCTGCGCACGTGCTCTCCGCGAGCTGGCCTGCGGCGCCACTTGCACCGGGCAGGCCCGCCTGGCCCGCACTCGGCCGCTCGGCCCGGCAGGCCGCGCCCTTCCCAGATGGTCTGGTACCGGAAATTTTCGGTAGCGATTTCGACGCACCCCGAATTTCGGTAGCGACCGGATCTTCGTTTGAGGCGTTGAAATAGCGGATTTCAGAACGCTCTGATACCGGTATTGGGCGCTACATTTCGGTATTTCGGTAGCGACCGATCTCTGCGGAGCGCTACCGGAAATTTTCGGTAGCGGACCATCAGGGATATACACGTACGCCAGAGAGGAGCCCCAATCAGTGGAAGATTTGCGCTGAGGAGATCGACCGGGAGTCCGGGAGCCCGGGAGCCCAGAACCCACCGAAATCGGCCCAGAACCAATAACCCGGAACCCGGGAACCCGGAGCCGGGCACCCGGGAACCCAGCCTGCCACCAAAATCGGCGGGAAATGTTCGCCTAATCTTTCAGACTTCCGCAAGGACTCCTTCCGTGCAAGCGCTGGTTGGGGAATCTAGGTGTTTTTTTTTCGACTTTCAGATCCGTTGGCACTGCGCCTCTGTCTTCGCTGACCGTTGTTCCTCTTCCTCCCTCGTCCGCTCTCCTTATTCGGGGGAGCGTAAGACCCGGGTTTGCCAGGACTCGGGTTCGCCATCGTTTTTTGACGACCGCGCCTCGGATTTTGACGAGGAGGAGCTTCGTGGGATGTCTGCAGCGGGAGGCCTCGTCAAAATGCAGGCTCGGCCTCGTCATTTTTTTGACGACCTCGTCGGGGATTTCCGAGTCCCCCGTACCCGGGTCTTACGTCTCCCCGATCCTTATGTTCTGTTCTCGGCTCGTGTGGGCTACTGGGCGCGCGCCGCTGTTGGCCTCCGCACCCACGGGCTCTCGCCCCGTACAGATACTGGGCGCCTAGGTAGGTTCGGTCCCTGTTGCAGGCGGTCTCGCCCCGTCCGCTCTCCTTTGCTTCTTCTCCTCCTGCACTCACCACCCACCAAACCACCCCAACCCAACCCGAAGGCCAAAATTTATCCTCGATTTCCAGTGGGGGGGGGTCGGGAAACATTGAAAAAACACATGGAACCCGTACCCCCCCCAACCCGAAATTCGGGTCAAATTCGGGTCTTCGGGTTGGGTTGGGGTGGTCTGGTAGGTAGTCATGCACCGCTTCTGGGCATACCTCGTTTTGGCTTGGACTCAGGTCTTGCCTCACCGGGCCTGTCTCACACGCCGTTGCCCCCGTAGCCTACAGACCTTGTGCTGCGTTTCTCGCATGGGCCCATGGACCTTGTGGCGTCCCCACGCGTTCCTCCGTCGCACGCTGTGGCACAGCTCCGCTGTGGTGTTATGCAGTGCATGCCGGTGGGGTCGTCGCTTGCCGGAAAAAACTCTCGCCCCTCTCTCCTCGGCCGTCGCTCCTCCCTGCTCGTCAGCTACAGCTCTGCCATCAGCGCGTGCGAGAAGGGCAAGCAGTGGCAGCGGACTCTGTCGCTGCTCACCGAGACGTCTGAGGCGAACATGAAACTCGACGGCAATGTCTATACCCTTGGGGTCAGCGCTTGCGAAAAAGCCAGCTGTCTGTACCCTGGACGCTGGTTCCCCCCTGGTCCGAGCAGAGCTCTCCTGAAAGGCCTTGTCCTAGCGTCAACCAGAGCATGAACGCTCGTGGTCATTCATCGCACACGAGCCCAGTCAGGATGTCAGCAGATGGGTTAGCTCCAGTCAGCTGCAGCGCTTGGCACTGCTGAGCGAGATGCGGAAGGCGAAGCTGGAGCCCGACGTCATCTCCTCTACAATGCAGGAGCCCACGCGTGCGAGAAAGGCCTGGGGGTACGACACATGCTAGGGCGCTGAGCGGCATACGTGGGCGAGCACTGGGGCCCTCGGTGGAGCTCCGGAGCTCCCTATGGGGGTACGCAGCGTGTGAGGGGTGTGCCTTCGTGGGCGCGTGGCGGCGTACATGGGCACGCACTGGGGCCGTAGGTGGAACTCCCCATGGGGCACGATCCGCGTGAGGGGTGTGCTGGAACGTGCGCACCGCGGCACGCGCACTGGGGCCGCGCGTGGAGCTCCCTCCTGGAGCCGGAAGCGTGTGGGTGGTGTTGCGGAGTCGGCGTGGGGCGGCGCGCGGGCCACGCCTCATGGGCCCGCAGATGGAGCTGCGCATGGGGGCACGAAGCGTAGTGGGATGCGGGTGCGGCGATTCAAAAGGAGGACCCAACAACACAGGAGGGTTGAGGCAGAGAGATCATTGAAGACTTTGGCTGGTTTTCACCACTTCCCACTTCTGGCTCCGGATCGCTCTGCGAAGCGCCCGAGGCACCTCCAAGAGGGCCCCTGAAGATCATACGAGCGCCAATGAGGGCCATGACGCCCCCAAGTAGGCCCAGGATGGGCCGGGCCAGTGCCCAAGATGGCCCCAAGGTCCCCCCGAGCGCCCCCAGACCCTCCCCACAACAGCACCAATAGGCTCCAAAAGAAGCCTAGAAAGCCTGATGAAGCTTGCGGGGGCCGCAAGGGAGCCCCAGAAGCCCAAAGAAGGCCGCAATAATGCCCCAAGGTGGCCCGAAGAGGGCCCCATAAGCGACCCGGGAGGAGACCAAGTGTTCAGCCACTTTTGCGCCGAGGCAATTGGGAGACTCGTGTGCTGGTGGCCGCTTCTCAAGCCTCCCTCCTCGCTTGTCGCCTCTCTCCTCGCTCCACGCTCCTCGCTTCTCACCTATTGCTCCTCGCTCAGCCCCCATCGCTCCTCGCTTCTCGTCCCTCGCTTCTTGCTCCTCTTCTCACTGCTCCTCTCTCCTGGCCCCTCGCTCCTCCGTCTTGGCTACTTGCACCTCCCTCCGTCCCTCTCTCCTATGCCGTCGCTCCTCCCTTCTCGCTTCTCACTGATCGTTCCAGGGTGCTCTCGCGAGCAGCAGGTTGTGCCAGCTAGCAGCAGTAGCGACAAACAGCACCCTGAAGCATCAAACGGCGACAGAAAGCAGCAGCAGCACGCAGCACGCAGCACGGAGCAAGTAACAGCCGCAGCAGCGGTAGCACACACCAACAACAACAGCAATCAAGAGCGTGCAGCAGGCAGCAACATCTTGCAGCAGAACGCAGCAAGCAGCATTGGCAATCAGCATAACCATTCAGCCATAAGTAGCATCAGCAAGCAACCGGCTAATATTATGAACAGCCGTAACAGAGAGCACGCAGCAGCACACAGGCGCGCTGCGACAATTAGCCAGCAGCAGCACGTAGCAGCGTCAAGTCGCATCAAACAGCAGTCAAAAAGCAGCACGGAATTGCCAACACCAGCACGCGGCGGTCAAACATGAAAAAAACATGTTTACAGAAAATTGTGGCAAGCAGCACCAGCCATCAGCAAACGGCAGGAAACGGCTGCGAGTGGACGGGCAGACAAGGAAGCCAGCAACACAGAATACAGGCGATCCGGCCATCACTGGGCTTGCAACTACGCAAGCGGGGCATCATGCGAGCAGATAAGGGCAGATAAGCAGGCAAGCCTTCCTAACCCTTGCGTTCGACTCCGCTTTCGTTGACGGTGGTCCACAGAGCCCCCCTGACGGCTTCCCCAGGCTCCCAAGCGCTCTTCCGAGCCCTTCTCTCCTCGTCCCGTTCTCCTCGCTGTTTGCCTTTCTTACTCCTCGCTGCTCGCACCTCTCTCCTGGCCCCTCGCTCCTCACCCCTGGCTATCAGCTCCTTCCTCCTCCCTCCTGGCATCTTCCTTTTGCTAGTCCACGTGGCCCCACGAGGACCTCAAGAGTGTCCTAGAGGGTCCTACGACGGCTCCTTCCTCCCTCGAACGGCGGGCAGTGGCGGCGGGCCCTGTTACTGCTGAGCAAGATTCGTCTGTCGAATAGTAAGCCTCACGTCCTCCCATCGTTGTCGGTTACAGCGTTAGAATCAGCGTGTGTGGGAGAGGTGGGTAGTGGCAAAAGGCGTCGTCGTTGCTGGGAGAGTTTGGGACAGCAGTTGGAGTTGGACGTAATCGTTTATGGTGGTTCGTTTTCCATGTGCGAGCAAGCTGGCGAATGTGAATGGCAGCAGGTGTTGACACTGCTTAGCGGGTTGTTGGAGGCGATGGTTTGATTTTCAGGAGAGCAACTCGATTGCGGTACAGCGAGGTGGCCATCAGATGCGAAAATATGTAGAAGCCTGTACTCTTGCTGAGTTGAACGTGCCCAGTAAGCGTCAGCAGGGCAATCCTTTGACATTTGGGGTGCGGAACCTGTGCCCAGCGTCTTCTCTATCATATCGGCGGATCGGCGTGTAGCAGAAGTGCGAGCAGTGTCAGCGGGCTTTGGCGCTGTTGAGCGAGATGTAGGAGGCGACGTTGGAACCCGAAGTCATCACATATAGCTGGTGGACGTGCACCTGCGAGGTTGGCGAGCTGTGGCACTAGTCTCTGTGGCTGCTCAGCGAGATGAGGCGGACGAAGTTGGATCTGGACGTGGCCTGCCTCAGAACTGCGATGGCGTCTCTGCTGCGCAGACATGATATCACAGGCTAGTCAGCGCAGCATGCGGATTGGTGCACACGCGAGGGGCGGACAGTGGCAGCTGGCACTGTAACTTGTGACCGACTTGCAAAAATCAAAAGAGGGATCACGACATCGTAAGCTACAGCGCCGAGGCCAGCGCCCGCGAGAAAGATGGCTAGTGGCAGCAGGCCTTGTCGCTGCCCTCCCCTCCCTCCCCTCATCTCCCCCCGCTCCCCTCAGTCCGTCCCTCCCTTCCTAGTGGGGATGCGGGACTGTCTGGCTGAGTGTGCGTCACAATTCTTCACGCTTCGCGTACCACCACCAGGTTGACAGGCCCGTGGCCTGGACCTCTCAGCTCGGCGACTGCGAATCCGCGTCCGCCCGCGACCAAAAAAAAGTACCACCACCAGCCTCAGTATTTCCCAACGGGAACCGGGTGTGCGACTTTGGTTTCGCCACTCAGTGCACCAGTTTGGACCTTTCGGCACGCTTGACAGTCGTCGCAGATACTGGCTCGCCGCCTCCCTGGTCCCATCCTGGTATGCGGCTCGCGCCATTTTGGCCGCGCCCCAACCTCGGTTGGTCAATTTGCACGTTGCCCTGGTTCAGCTCCCCGGCGGCCGCAGCCTGCATCCCCCCACCCGCCGGCCCTGCCCGCCGTGGTGATGCCTGAGGCTCCGCCGGCTTTAGGTAATTCGTCTTTGCGCGGCCCGCTGTCTTGAATCATATTCGGCTATCGTGAGCCGCCTTGTAGGCCGTCTTCGAGCATCGGAGGTCCTCTTGGAGCCTTCTTGGGCCATCTTGGACGCTTGAACTCCTCGTGGAGGCCCCCAAACACAACCTCAGGGAGGGGAGGGGGAGGGCTCCCCTCCCCGAAGTGAAGAGGGTTCTGGAGGAGGGAAGGAAGAACTCGTTAGACCACCTTAGCCCAAAGGGCTAGTGGGGTCCCTCTGCGTCAGCGAAGGTGTCCTAGTTGCTGGCCGCCGTCGTCCTCATCTCCTCGCTCCTTGATTATCCTGCTCCCCCCTCCTCCTGCTGCCCCTCTGCTCGGTCGCCAGCACCTTGACTCAAGTCCTGTTCCCCAGTTCGTGTTTGAGATTTCCGCCTTCTAGCCTCAGTCATGTTTTACAGATTCAACGCCATTGGCTGTTGGGCCGTTCGATTTTGCACCGCGTCCGCGCTGAAGACTTGTGGAAACCGCCACGACATTCATGTTAGGCTTCTCAGTTCGCGTGGCTTGCTGACGCTATGCAAGCATGCATCCAAGCAACCGTAAGAGCGGCGCACACATACTGCTTCTGGATTTGAAAAAAGAAGAGAACAGTCTTGGACACGAGACTATGCTTACAGTGGCAGCATCAAGCCCGCATGCCGGAAGGAGGAGGGAGATGAGACGGAGGGAAAGCACGAGTATGGAATTGCTGCTGTCACCCCAATACTTTGTCTCACGTGAGCACCCGCTTCACGCTCGTAATCGGAGGTTCTACGTTAAGGCCCACTGCACGGTTGAGTGCTGTGGAGTCGCCAGGCTCGCCATCGATGCGACTGGATCAGGCGGCTCGCAAAGAATGTCGCAGATGGCTCGGATATGCTTGCCGAGACGACACCGATACCCTCGGTCTGGGCTGCCACCTTCACGTTCATAAAGTCGCAGGGGGCTCAGAGGCAGACGGTGTCCAAAGTTCGGCTTTGCGGAAGGCTGCGCCGAGTTTCCCGCAGCGTTTGCGCAGCGTTTCTTTGACCGGGCCTGTGACTTCAGAGTCAAGTGCACAGGTATTCGAAAGCTTGAGCATACGCAACCCGTCGTGCATCTATATATATGTGTATATATATATATATATATATATATATAAATGTATATTTAAGTAATGGAGGATTTGACCAACAGGGCTAACCTCAGAGCGTTGGCAAGTTTCAATTCCTGGCCTCTCTAACGGGCAGGGGACATGACCGTCACCGCACCTACGAGGCCATGGGCGCAATGCCCATCGTGCCCAGTGATTCGCACGAGCTTGGCAAGCGGAG